TTTGTTTTGTGGTATAATAATAAACAAGACGTTGAGTATATAAAATAATTGCATCTGTCAATATAACTTCTGTATTCTGTTTTGCTCAAGTGTGGTGTGTTAAATAATATGCACCACTTTGATTCTGTTGTGCACCGATAGCATTATATAATCTTCTTATAATACCAGTTATTTTTTGTCTGACTGGATTAATTTCATCTTTTATTCTATTGAATAAATTATTGAAATTTGTTTGTAACGTTTTGATAAGATCTCGCAATTGGGCAGAACTCCCGTTAAGTCCAATTGTCAGAAATTGACCTAAAATACTATAAACTGCATGTTTCATATTACTGAATCCTATTTTTGAATTACAATTGTTGTTTCCATAGATAACAGTCCCATTAGGAACAAATACCACATTATGTAAAACATGTTCTATATCTACTTCTCTATTTTGTACACGTTTTATATAAGAACGATTTATAGTTGCTTGAGTTGGCATACGAGTATTTGGTATCATAAACAAATAAATAGTAATAACTAGATTTCAATTATTAAAGAGTTCCCTACTTGTTGTGCTCGTGGTTTGGAGATGAATTTTAATACAATTTCATCAATATCATTGTTCAATAATGTTGAATTTATTTCTGACAAATTTGTTTGTTGGTTTGTATTCTTTGGAATATACAAACCTGATTCATTGAAAGTGTTTGGTATTGTTTTTGTTGGTTTAGTTGATGTTTCTATTATGTCAATTGAATCTAGATCATCCAATGATAATAAATTATCATTAATAATGGTATTTGTTGTGTTAGATGGTACAAATTCACTTGAAGTTATAACATTCTTGTTATTATTTTTATTTCCAATACCATCTAAAATACTAAAATCAAATGGTTCAAATTCATCAATTATTTCCATTATATAATATTTAGTTCTGAGATATTATTTTTGCACTAATTCCATTAGTACTTGTATGTATTGGGATATTTAACTTGATGTATAAGTTATTAGATTGATTATTACAATCAATAGAGGTATGTTGTTGAATTTCTTTATTTTTATTTAAAGTTTTAATTTCTTCTAATAATATGTTGATTGTTTCTCCTAATGAATTAATATGATCTTCATTAACTTTATTTGATTTTAATAATATTGTGTTATATTCACGTATTTTTTCATATTCATCATTTAATTTCTTTATTTCTTCATCTTTTGTTTTAAGTATATTTTGAATATTAACAATTGTTTGTTTAGATTTTTCATACTCTTTATTTAGATTATTATAAACATTAGATGGAATATCACTTTTATTCTGTTGTATATTTTGAATCCTTTTGTTTAATTCTTTGTTTTCATCTGTTAATCTTTTGAGTTGTTCTAAAGTGTTATTGTTATTCTTTATAATTGAATTTCTTTCATTTTCAGTTTCATTAATTTTATCAATTAATTCATTTACTCTTTTTTTCAAACGAATTATTTCTTTTGAATCATTTTCTTGTTTAGTGCTTAATTCGTGTATTTTCTGTTTATATCCTTCTTCATTTGAAATCTTTAATTTTAATATCTCATTTTCTTTTTCTAATCCTCTCAATTCTTTAATTGTTCTATCTTTTTCAGTTAATTGTTGTTCACGTGTTTCTATTCCAGCAAGTAATATTTCATTTGTTTTCTTTAATTCTTTAATTAATTCTGTATCTGATTTCTCATTTCTAGATGTTGATGACATAAACTAATAATATTTAGTTTATATAAGTCAGATGAAACAACGTTATTTAACATTAACAAATGAAAATACAACTGTTGACCTTTTGACAGGTAAATTCACTGTAAAACTACCATGGGAATTTACAACATCTGAAACTCCCATTAAAGTGATAGAAATAATAAATTTTATTTATTTTAATCTAAATGGTCAATTGGATGTTGGAATAAGTTGTCATGCTTCTTTTAATCATGACTCTATTGAAAATGATCAAATGGTATGTTTTACTACTTATGGAAGTATGACACCTAGAAGATTTGAAATAAGAAGACATTAA